TCAAGGGTCAATGGATTTCAGAAATGGCATCGACATTGAAATATGGTATTCCAAGGCCATCATATTGACAAGGTCAACATGTATTTTTGTAAATTAAAATGAAGGATGCTCAAAAGTTGACAAATATGCTATTGTCTGGTCAATAATGATGCATCAACAATTTATTTATATCATCTTTATATATAAAGTAATTATTTACAAATACAAATATGACAAATAAACTGTTTGCTTTATTTTGATTTAATTGTAATTTTTTTGGTGTCATTATTTACTTACACCGAGTTTTTAATCTTTGGAGAAAAGAAAGTTTTGAGGCATCAATTACGTGTGGTACATATAGATTAGAGATTTATGTTGTACGTTAACAAGAATGAATTTATAGGTATCAAACCCTAGAAAGACTTTGTAACTACAAAACTTGGTCATATAAAGGTCTTTTTTCAATACCTACGTGATAATTTTTTTTCTATTTTTACTATGCCTCTGATTAATCTCCTCTCGAGTTTTGATGAAAAATGGGAACAAAATATTTAACTTTACTTATTGATTGAAAAGAAGCATAATAAAGGAAAATGAAGAGGCTATCATGTTAACGACATTGTGTAAAGATTATTGGTATATCAGATACAAGAATTTATCAATGATAAAATAATATGGGGTAAAAATAGTTGTATAATGAAAACTTCTTGATACCCCTCTAGGTCTTTGCAGAAGAGTCAACAGGAAATGAGTTTAACTCTTCCGGCGACACTTGATCCAAAATAGGTACAAATCACGATTTTAATATTGTTGTCATTATAAAGTGTGCAGTATTCAATTTTGATAACAAAAACGGTAGATTAGAAACGACCAACAAAGTAAACGATTTAAAACAGTTTTGTATGCTATTTGGAGAACCTTACCTTAGCTTTGTGGGTTTATTTTTATTTAAGTCTTTTGTTTTACGCCTTTCTTTTGAACATTTTGAACCAGCAAAACATCCTTAACAAATATGCTTACATCTGATATATATTTTTTGTTAATTTAAGGGAAATCCCCCGCCTTTCCAGTTTTATCTCTATTTTTAGAAAAGGGAGTTTCCGACATTTAGAAATTGGTGACCTAAAAGGTAAAGGTGCTTGAGCCTGAACTGTTTTTAAATAACACTGTCATTTTATACTTCCCCGATTATATTGTAAGAATATTTGAACTGATATGTGGAATCGAACTTTAAAAAGAATGCTTGTCAGTTTAAATAAGCATTTAAAAAACTGTTTTTGTTTACAAAATGTAATTCTAAAGAAAGCACTTGTGAATAATGATACCTAGAAGCAGGCAATAGTTTGTGAATTTGATATATTTATTTGTAATGTTTTTGTATGTGTGCCTTTTTGTACGATTGAAGAATTTATCTGCCGTGTTTTAAGAAAAGAGGAAAAAAATGATTATTTGAATAATTTCTCTCTAATAAATTATTTGAAAGAATGTCTATTATTTACTCTTTATCATTACTTCTGTATAAATCATTTATTTATATAAGGCTCTGAAGTGATTATTTGAATAATTATTGGTATTCAGGGTTAGAAACTCCCTAAAATTACAACTCGCAAATAATTGCGAGTACTAAGAAAGTGAACTCGCAATTTTATAAGACTACTCGCAATTTTCATATAAAGTTAAATTTATATAAATTAAATACATGTAACTTAAGGAAAAAGTAACTACTGCACAATACACAAAATATAACTACAGTGCAACTTCTATTTAAATTACTGATTTAAATCAAAGGCATTGTGTTCTGTTATAATATATAATTTTCAATTTCAGTTTCAGTTTCAGTGCCAAAAAAATCAACTCGCAAGTTTTTGCGAGTTACCTAATTTTTAACTCGCAATTTTGGAATTCTAACTCGCATTTTGCGAGTTGTATGTAGTGAATTTCGAACCCTGGGGTATGAAACGTGTCAGTCAAAATATGATTCACTGATAGGTTGTATTTGCGAATAAGGTCATTATAATGACTATAGAATTTTCGAAATACTGATTTTAAACGAGGTTGTTGAAATTCCTGTAACACCAACTTACTTGTCAGTATCCTGCCTCGTTTCAAAATTTGATCGTACTCAGAGCATGTTCATATACATGTGTAATGAGCTGGGAGACAGAAATACTATACGCAGGTGATATGGAATATAACTACATAAATAAGGGAAGTTGACGATGGAATGTTTAAAATCATCTCGTTTGTTCAACAGCGTAGTTGTTATTAGTTGGTCATTGTTGTCTACAGACAGTAAAACTACAAAATTTGAAACATATGTGGCAGATTTTGTGGTGTCTTTTATTTCAAATTCATATAGATATATTATGCCATTTTGCTTCAATAGCATAATTTGTTTCAATAAAAACCTTTCAGTTTCAAAATTGTGAATAAGGGCACAATACTATTTATTTGAAGTCGAAAAGTCAATGTTAATGTTAGAACGAGGTTTGTGGACAACTTCGACATTCAGTCTCAATTTTGCTAAACAGGTGGTAAGCAACCAGGTTATTTGAGGGTGAAAACGTCAAAATTAAAAATTGAAGGTTAAAGTTACTTTGCGTCCTCAACTGTGTTGTGGACACGATTTCTACGAAAAAACCAAATATGATCATTGAATCGCACACTTGCAAAAGTTTGATAAGAGATCATAGAAACATGCCTTATTTTAATGTCAAAATTCAAGGTCAAAGTTATGAGTCCTGATACAGTTCTGTGGACAACCATGTTGAATCCTTTGACCTTTAAAGTTTGAATTTAGCTAAGGAGATGGTACATGACCAAAGAAGCACACATAAAAAAGTCAAAGGTCAATTTAAAGACTATGAAAAAAAAATCAGGGTAAAAAGCCTATTTATTCCACTGTCAAGACGTCGAAGAGAGATTCGCATTTGTAAACTACTTGTGTACACAAAAATATTACTTGACTTTTAAGTAGAGTACATGCTACAGATCTAGATATATGCAGGGGAAGAAGCTAAATTCTAGAAATGATAGGTCATAGGTCAAGGTCAAAGATTGGTAATTATAATGTTATAATAATGAAAACCATATCCTCTAAATGTGTTAGAAACACCGTGTTCTTTGAATTAAATGATGTTGCAAGGGGATGTCCTACTTTGCAAGATCAATCTGCAAACATTTTGATATAAAAACTTTTTACCAGTCTTCAGTGCATATCGAAAAAAAACTGTGAGGTAAGATTTTTTATTTGTCGGTAAGCAAGAAAAGCATGTACGGTATTTTAATTATTTTTGTTCTTGGCAATTTAGGGCACATTGGATGCATGGATTGATGTATATTTTCCTTGATTTTAATGTAAAAGGTAGAGATGACGAATAGTGATCAATTTCAAAAGATCCATAAAAATACAAATATGTGAAGAGGGCATAAAACAGGGACACCAGTGAATTCCAGAAGTGGGATCAGGTGTCTAGGAGAAATATAAATGATGCAAGTATCAAATGCCTAAAAATATAAAGAAATTATTTTTTTAAATGATGTTCAAAATCCCCATTTTTTATCATTCCCATTATAAATCTTTTCATTTTTTCATCACTTTATAGGACACTACTACTACAAAATCTTGATTAAGAATTTAACTTTTTTACGTGGTTAAAGTTATTAATTTACTAATAAAAATATAGATAGTATTAAATTTACTGATTTTTTAAACTGAAGTTTGTTTGTAGAAAGAAGCATTGCCAAAAGTGATTATTTTGATTTCAATTCCGATTTCAAATATGTACCCTTTGGGGTGAAGAATTACTGTATTTCTACGTTGATTTTAAAGAAATCCAGCCCATAAATTTGGAGTCCTTGATTTTAGTCAGGGTATCACATGCCCTTAAGGTGTAATCTCGAATTAAGACTAATGTCTCATGCCAAAATTAAGGATACTGGGCGATGAGATTCTGTTGTCGTATCGGCCAATACTTTTATGCTTTAGTTTTTTCTTGTCTTAATTCTTGTCATTTGCATTAATTTTAACAGGAGGACATATCTCGAAGCGCAAAATCGCTGGACAACAAGAGATTTTCAATTCGTGGCTACGATAAGAACTTTCTTATAGATGGTTTCAAATTTAATTGTTGCTAATGACTATGCACATTCTTGACTCAGGGTCATATAAGAGTATTTTAAGTCTATACTAGTTAGAAACAATCCACCCCTCGGCTTGGATGAATTTAAACTATAATCTTAGTAAGCATGACATGATTTAAAATGTCATATGATTCAATGTCATATGTTGTAAATTTCTAGGTCAAAGTCGTCTAAAGATGTGAAAACTAGTTACTTTCTTGTCAAGACGATACTGTGTAACCGTTTCTTAAAATGTTTTCTTTGAAATGTCAAGCTCTCGATTCAAGAACATTCAATCAAGGTCATATTGGGATGGTAGGGCAAGGGTTCGGGACGGAGGGTATCAAATTCTGTTTGTTCCAATTCTGTTCTATTTGTTCCAATTAGAGACACGGTTTCATTTCAGGTGTGACAAGGCCCAATTCATAGAAACATAGCCCAGATGAAACCAAACCAACTCTTAACAGTTACTTATCTCTGTATCAATGATTAATACGATAAACTTGTGAAACAAATTTGCTATATCATAAAATAAATGAATAAAATCAGAAAACTACAAGACATTAGAACTCAATACAAAATTTGTAGAGAATATACATAAAAAAGAAGTATGTCTTAATTCTCACTGTTCAGGCAGGTACTTACGTATTACTGGGGAGAATGGCCATTTAACCCTAGGTGGTGAAGAACGGTAACTAGGAGAGTTCAGTAGATAAGCGACTAAATATAGATGTTTTGTACATTAGCATGCAGACAGAAAACGTGCTTTGTGTGAACCTTTAAAAATGTCAGCTTTGGCACAGGTTCGACGCTGGTTTTATCTTTATACATCATGACTCAGTGGTGTGTCGACACATACACATTCTACGTGGTAAAATGTTTACTTTCAAGATAAGACGAAATGTCTTCATATTTTTATAACGTGGGAACAGACTATATTTCTCAAATGAAATATCCGGAACGTAAGTTATTAAAGGTAACCAATAAAAAAAGCGGTCACGCGATTAAAATTATGCTTGCTTAAATACCTAAGTAAATACTGCACTCGTTACCAGTGCAAAAAATCCTACTTTCGTTTTTCAGCAGTTCAACGTACAGCTTGCTGGAGAAGGTTTGTTGAAGGAGGTGGGAACTGAAATATACCAAACAGGTCAGTTTCATGAAATAAATCTTTAATTAAAATATCAATAAATAATTTTAAGAGAATTCCTAATTAAAGAAAAATTAAAAAGCTGAACTGCTGTCGGATGATATGTATATACATGTTAACTTTCAGTTTTGAAATAAGTGCTGAACAACAAAACAATTTAGTCGTGATAAAACTTTTGTTGTGGACATTTCCGGGAAAATCAGTTGTGAAAGAGAAAATATTGGCCTAATGTTTTATTCAATTTTTTCAGTAGTCCATCATATTTTTTTAATGAAGGAATCTGTAATAAGTACGACCTGGTCCACCGAGACATTATCAGATTCATATAATGACCAGCAATTACTACAGGGCAGGAAAGGGTGTTAACAATCCAGGAAGCTCAAACTCTTTAAAGTTACACATGTATGTAGTTTGTTCTACTTTCAGGACCTAAGACCTTGGTTATTAGATATTTTAAGTTTTAATTTTCTTACCTCTTCTTGTGTAACACTTCAAAATGGCGGCGACCCTTGCTCTCCTCACTGCGCCATAACCTCATTTACACAGCACGTAGGCAGTCTTGGTTTTATTTCCTCATTGTTGTGAAACGCTTCCTGTTTAGTGCAGTTTTTTAAAAACTTGTTCCAACTTTTTTGCTAGAACATTGTTATCAAAATCAAATGGAAAATTGCATAAGCGAAAACATTTTGTTTCATGTAGCTATTTTCACGTTTCCTCACACATGCTGGGGATTGCAGGGAATCTTTGTACACACTATTGAACAGAATGTGTCTGCTTAAGACAATCTAATACAGTTATATCTAATAAAATTAAAATGTTCAATGTTTTAATTATGGAACTGATTTGATTTTTTCCCACTATATATACCAAATCATAGACTTGGAATTAATTAGGTAAAAATCTGTCATTCAAAACCAAAATAAAAAAAGATTTTCTGAAAATGGTAAACCCAAATTTGAATAAAGCATAATTATCCTTAGAAATTTTTTACACTCCCATGTTTACAAAGTATAATATAAAACAAGGAACACAGTCATTGAATATACTAAGTGGCCATATCCGCAATGATCACAAAGTTCTTTTCAGATAAGCTTGTTTCAGAGAGAACAAAGACGCTAAAAGTACGTAGGAAGGATATGCCAAGTTAACCAATCACATCAAGTGAGACTTGTTTAGTTTCCAAGCTAATGGACAGTTCGGAACAATCGTAAAATTCTTACTATATGAGTTTCCTTAGCATTTGAGTGTTATCCATGCTTCTTGAAATTATGCGTAGATATGTAAGTGTTTTTTTGTACTCAAAAAGAGAATATATATCATGGAATAAAAAGAGAATTATTTGACTATGTATATACATTACCTGAATGCTTTTTTCTATAAATTATTTTTTCTTTTATTCTTATATTCAAAACACACATTAATATATATAAAGAGAGAGAGAGAGAAGTGGATCTAAGAGGGAAAACCTATTTGTGCTTTTAAGATGGGGCGTTACACCACGTCTTCTGTTCTGGACTTCCTTGTTGTCTCCTCATTTTAGGTCACCTGATTTACTCAGCTGACCTATTGTTTGTCAGTCATTGTCCGTTGTGCCTAAGCATTTGAACATTTTCAGATTCTTCTCTGCGGAACCAATTTCAACTATATAGCATCTATGGGTGAAAAATAACAAAAAAAAAAAATGAATTTCATGGTCCGTTTCCCCCTGGGCCCAAGGAGTGAGGCTAAAATTCAATAATTTAACTAAAATTAATTATGTTTTTAATAATCTTCTTTTCTCCTGGACATTAAGGAGTCGAATTGTTAGAATGATTGTAAAGAGAATTGAGCCCTGTACCAAAATAGTAAAATTCATGGCCCCAGGGTCAGGGACCATGGTGTTTGTAAGGGGCTCTATTGATCATATAGGGAAAATTAAGAGATCCCAAAAAAAATTCTCTTTCCCTGAGCAGACAAACTAAGTGCACAAATATAATGAGCGAGGGTGTCTCTTCCAAAATTGTGAATTCCTCCCCCTTTGATCAGGGGTTCTGAAGTTAAGTCAGTGTTTTATTGATCATGTAGTGAAAATGCATGAACTCTTTGAAAATCTTCTTCTCTGCTTCTTGGTATTTAGCATACAAACTAAGGGCATTGTTGTTATGAGCAAGGGTGCGTCTTCCAAAGTGTAAAATTCATGGGTCATGGGTTCTGAAGATAGGGAGGGGCTTTATTAATCATATTGTTAAGATACATTAATTCTTTGAAAATCTTTTCTACTCTTTGGTATTTAGCAGATAAACTAAATGCATGTGTATAATGAGCAAGGGTGTTAGGCTAAACACAAAATAAGGAAAATTGATGTCAAAGTTAAATGAAAGGTCAAAATCGGAAATTATCTCGCCAATATGTACCAATGTGTGAATTTGATTATAATATCTTGAAACAGTTTCTTTAAAACCGAGTTGAACGCAGAATGACGAATAGTGAAGTAAATGACATAAGGAAGACCAAGATAAAAAATATAGTCGATTAATTCTTACAAATTTGCATCAGTGTATGAATTTTGATCAAATATCATGAGCAGTTTCTTTGAAACTGGGCTATATATAAATGCAAAATGACGAATAGCGAAGAAAGATCATAGGTAAGATCAAGGTAAAAAAAAAATTCCTGCAGCTGAATATCCCTCATCAATTTTTGTATCAGTCTTTAATTAAAATATCTTGAACACTTTTGTAACGCTTAGGCCATTTTTAAAATAATGTTTGATTACCCTTTCCTGACCAAGGGTAAAAAAATTGGGTCGGTAGGTAGATTGGAAATTTTTTTTCTTAACATATATATTGACGGAAGGAGAAAATCCAGGAATAAAAAGGAAAAATGATATCGTTTCCAGGAGGTTAAAAAAAGTTTGAGTTAGGCCATTTTTAGTCTGTCGGTCTGGAGAGGGCAAACAAACAATTTTTTAAAGATGGCCTTAACGTTAATAACATACCGAGGTCAAGGTGAAAGGGAAGATCAAAGTCACAAAGAAATGTACAGTCGAATAGATTTCCAAAATATGCATCAATGTATGAATTTTGATAAAAATCTTCAGCAGTTTCTTTGAAACTAGGCTAAATGCATAGCGTGACGGACAGACAATTGGAAGACAAACACTACAAACCCCGATAATATTCATGGCAAAAATCAACAGCATCTTTACTCTACCAAGGTTTTATTACTGCAAGTGGATGAAATTATATCTTCCAACTATGTGATATTTTACATACTATTGATTTGTTTTTGTTTGTTTGTTTGATGTCCCTTCGAGGATTTTTCACTCATAATTAGACGCTACCACATTCCGGTGTTGTAGAGCGAACCCCCCCCCCCCCCCCCCCCGGGTAATTTGTGCACCCTTGTAGAGGTTTGGTAACTGTGATAACTGAAAAAAATATCTTCATAGAGTGATTCTAGTACGAGTCAAAGCAAGATTAAATGATGGGGGAAGACCTGCTATGGGGGAAGTCTGACAAATAGAAGTAGAGTTGGTCTTCCTGCAGGGAAGTTTTTCGTTAGTGGGTAGTTGGTAAGACAACTATAGATCTTCATTAAACCGTTAAAAACTTGAAAAACAAAACTTGATATTTTCCTACACTACTGTTTCGATAAAAATGAAGTCACCACTGGATTTTAAATTCAGTTGACCACTTCTTGGATTCTTGTAAGGTTTCTGACTACTTAAAATAAGAAATATTTGCTGAAGAGAAAGATGACGATAACGATCAGTGATTAGTCTCACAAATACAGTAGACAAAACGTATGGGTGTTGTAGACAAAGAAATCGGCCTCTGGAAACACCATAGGTAGGATCAGGTGCCTAGGAGGAGTAAGCATCCCCTGACAACCGGCCATACCTGCCGTGAGTCCTATGTATTGATCAGGTAGACGGAGTACTCAGTAGTCAAATTTTGTATGACCTAACAAATGGTATGAAACATGTCAAACAATATACAATTTACAAAATACAATATACAAAATTATTTTGTTAATAAAACATTCTGATCGTACACACAAGTACTCTGAAGTTGATATTAAAAAGATGCTTGAGTTTCTGATTGACAATATCTTTGTGGTTTATGGAGAACAGATCTTCCAATAACCTATTGGAATTTCCATGGGTACCAATTGCGCCCCGTTATTAGCAGACCTACTTTTGTATTCATATGAAGCAGAATTTGTTCAAAATCTTATACGTGAAAAGGAGAAAACACTTGTTGTGGCCTTCAACTCGACATTTAGATATATCGACGACGTATTGTCAATTAACAATGCTTATTTTCATTCTTATGTCGATACGATATATCCCAGTTAGCTTGAGATAAAGATACTACAGAGTCTGACACACCTGTTTCATATTTGGATATTTTACTAGAAAAAGACGTTAATGGTAATCTAACAACCAAGCTTTATGATAAACGTGTACCGTTCACGGTAGCTCAGTCGGTAGAGCGCTCGCTCCGTGATCGGGAGGTCGTGAGTTCGAATCTCGGCCGCGACAGACATAAGTCGATAAAAATAGGCAGCAACTGTTCCTTCGCCATGCGCTCGGCACTTTGAAGTGAAAGTTGCGGGTCCTTCGGATGAGACCTTAAAAACCGAGGCCCCGTGTCACGGCAGGCGTTGGCACGATAAAGATCCCTCACTGCTCAATGGCCCTGAGTGCCGAGTAAAGGTCAAAATTTGAAGCCCTTCACCGGTATATGGTGACGTCTCTATATGAGTGAAAAATTCTCGAATGGGACGTAAAACAATATACAATCAATCATTATGATAAACGTGATGACTTTAACATTTCCATCGTCAACTCCCTTACTTATGCAGCACTATATATCTCTTGATCACCTGCATACGAGGTTTATAGCTCTCAGTTGATTCGATACACAAGAACATGCTCTACTTATGAACAATTTCTAAAACGAGGTAAGTTATTGACAAACACGTCGATGAAACAAGAATATTACCAGTCTCTTTTAAAGTCGTCATTTCGTAAGTTCTATGGTCGATACAATGATCTTGTCAGCAAATACAATTTATCATTGAGTCAAATGCTGACTGACGTTTTTTATACTAATTGTTAGGCCATTATTTACTGTCGACGGATTTTTCCGTTATTTCCCGATCACGACAAGGAGCACACGGCTTGATGTGACCGGTCGGCAGGGGATGCTCACTCCTCCATGGCACCTGATCCCACCTCTGATGTTTTAGAGGTCTGTGTTTGTTCTGATCCATAATTTGTATTGTTTAATGGACTTTTGAGCTTGAATACTGTTCGTTATCTCTATGCATGTCATTGTTTTAATCCAGTAGTGTTTTCATTATAAACAATAGAGAGCAGACGCCAAGAAATGTCAGAGGAGCAAAGAAACTATAGATTTGTATCTATTTGGTGAAAAAGTGATTTATTTTCTGTGAATAAATCTACGATTTTTAGGCTTGTGAAGATATATAAAAATAATGGGGAAAGAATGGAAAAGAGATCCAATCGAAGTAGGAAGAGTCTGATTGATGAGAGGGGTGACAGAATTTTGATTTGGACAGTGAAGAGGAATAGAAGACAGACTTTGAGTGAAACTGTGGATGATTTTAACCAACATGCTTCTGATAAATTGACTATTCAGAGAAAACTCCACCATCGTGGAATTCACAGGCACAGAGTAAAGAAGACCCTCACTGTGTCAGAAGTCAACTGAAAACGCCATGTTAAATGGTGTAAATATATGAAAAATCGTGAAGTTGATGATATTTGGAGAAAAGTGATTATCAATTGAAACTCAAATAGTGATATCAAATGAAAATCGTGTCTGTGTGTATGGAGAACTCAGGATGAAGCGTATCGTCAAGAATGTGTAGGTTTACATGGCCGCAGTGTAAAGATTATTTGTATGTTTTGGGGATATATAACATATTCAGGAGTAGGTACATCAGTTCCAGTAACTGGAAATATGAACGTTGAGAATTATACAAACTCTTGATGAACATTTATGGCCAGTTATTGCAAAACATTTTGGAAATTCATCATTTGTATTCAAGGATGACAATGCTCCCTGTCATGCCTCACAATTGACAACAGCCTGGAAACTTGAAAATGATTTAAATGGTTTTGACTGGCTGTCACAGTCACCAGACCTCAGCATCATAGAAAATATCTGGCTAATTCTAAAAATTCACTTTCAAAAATCATTGACAGCAATTAAATCCAAATATAATTTGACCACTGAAGTTGGTTTTCTCTTACTGTCCCTAACATCAGAAACGTATATCACACAATTCCAAGAAGATTACTTGCTGTAATTTCTGCTAAAGGTCACATCACTAAATACTGAAAATTTCAAGTAAGTGTCTTTTATAGTTTTTGATTTATGATTGTTTGAAAAGACAATAAAGATTACCTAGAAACAATTACTTCAGGGAAAAGTTGCATCATTTTTGGCACGTCACTGTAAGTGTTGAGTTGAAACAAAAGCAAGAGATTTCTTCTTTTCGTGTAGAAATTCTGTTCATAAAAATCGGCTAATAAGGAGCACAATTACTTCCATAGAAATTCCAACAGATTGTTGGAAGACCTGGTCTCCAAAGACTACACAGATATTTAAGATGAGGAACTCCGGCATCTTTTTGATATCAATTTCAGAGTGCTTGTATATGTAGAATCAGAATGATTTTAAACAAAGTAAATTTGTAGAAGATCAATCATATGAAAATTACGAGTTCCATTTATTTTGGAAGCAGGTATGGTGTCAAAAAGCCTGATTATCTGTCTAGTTTGATACAAAGTTAGAGGGCAAGGGAAAGGGCCAGTGAAAGATCCTACGTTTGTTCAGGCGGATTTTCAAACGTCGTTTATACTCTCTTTGTTTTGATACCTCAAAATTTATGCTCTTTTGTAAATCAAAATCCGAGGGGAGAGAGAGAGAGAGAGAGAGAGAGAGATAGAAAGAGGGGGAACAGCGTGAGGATAAAAATGGGACAAGGTTAAACTTGTCTGTACAATCCCTTCGAATGATGATACCATGAAGTATTTTAATCACTAATTGGTTTTTAGGTGCAACAATTGCTATCATCAGCACACAATTGTAACATATAATGTTTGATCTGTAATGATCTAGTTAATGATCTGGCTTTTTAATCAGCGACTGGTTTTCAGCTGTTGCAAATTCATGTCCGATCGTGGAGCGCTTATTTCTATTGGAAGATGCATTACTGCTTTCACTACGTCCTGGTATAGCTGAACATTTCATGTAGCCTCTATTACAACATTTTTACTTTTCCTTTATAGGCACCTCTGATGCATCCGATGCTGTTGAAAATATGAACCCGAAGAGAAATTTTAAAAAGCCTTACAAAATATAGTGAAAAACGACTGCTGGTCATGAAAGATTTCTTTTAGAATTAATAAATATCTGAGAAATGCACTGTTCAGTCACCTCACATGAATGTCAGCATGACCGTTCATCACAAATATCTCTAGTACTTTCATCACCTCCACAACCGTCGCCCGCGTGGCGCAGTGGTTAGAGCGTCTGCTCTAGAGTCGCGGAGTAAGGAGTTCATCCTTACGTCGCGGGTTCGAATTCCACTGTGGGACGTGGAGACCGGTCCTTCGGATGAGACCGTATAAACCGAGGTCCCGTGTCGCAGTAGGTGCTGGCACGAAAAAGATCCCTCACTGCTCAATGGCCGTAAGTGCCGAGTATAGGACAAAATTTGCAGCTCTCCACCGGCATGTGGTGGCGTCTCCATATGAGTGAAAAATTCTTGAGAGGGACGTTAAAATACATACAAACAAACAAACACCCCCACAACCCCCCCCCCCCCCACACACACACACACACACAAATTACATGTATAAGCATATGCATGCCATAAAAGCCTTACTATTAGAAAAAAAGAAATATTGATAAAATTCAGTTTTTTTAAAATCAAATGGAACCGGTGTCCCTAGAACAATATTGAGAATGATAGGAATGGCAAATAAAAGGCGGAATATGAATGCTTGAAAATCTAGAGGCTACTGTACAAACTTCAGCTATAATACCAGCACTCTGCTCATTGACTCTAGAACTAAGATGAAGTCATTAAGAAGACATTTGACATTTTAAGGCCCATCTGGGTATTACAGATAAAAGTTGCAAGTATATATTAAATACTAGTACATGCCTTTTCTTGAATGATGAATACTTTAGAATAGAATGCTCAAAACCTGATATTCCATCGTTTAAATGTATGTCCCATGCAGAATTCGAAATATGATAGGTTGTGAGTAAACACTGAAGCACCATTGTTGCACGGATTGGTCTTTGTTGGGCTTGTATCTACTTGGGAAAGACTTTAACTTAATATCTCGAAAATTCAGGTCACTTGCAGAATCCAATATATTATTACTTATCCAAAAGCGTTCGTGTATATTTGTATGTTACGTGTAGAATTCGAAACATGACTGGCACAGCATCCAAACATGCATTGCATGCTATGAAGACCTAGTCAAAGGTAGGAACTCTAGTTACTTGGGAACTGACCTGCTCCTTTACCTGATAATATAGATCACAAACTTCATTTGAATAATGAATCAGGCATCCGTATTCGGATCATAAATGTCTGTTAAACCTGGGGAATATATTTTAAGAAAAAAAAATTGAAAAAAATATTTTGAGCTGATTGCTCATCCGGAAAATCAACGTCAGTTGCAGTTGTGTAATTGTATCTTTAACATCACTATTCCATGACAGAATTAAATTAGTAAAGCTCGGATATTACAAAGATGTTCTTGTGACAGACATTATTGAGGAACCACACCCTTCTGAGCTACCCATAGGAGCTGTAGCAAAGATTGGAATTCAAAACCTTATCGATTACATTCATAATTAGCAAATCATACTTCACCATTTAAAATGTATTTCAGATGACAAATTTATTTTTTGTACTACACCTTTTTGGGTCCCTAGGGACCCTAATGACTAAAATCGAAATATCAAAACATCGCACAGTATAGTACCAGACAAATTATACACTAAAAGGTATTTTGATATATGAGAGAAGAAGTGCCAACAAGGAAAGTGTACAGCGAACGAGGATAATGGCAATTTTCCAGAATATTTCTTAAAGTGGGTAATGAATAGATTAACATTTAAGATATCTAGGATTCGTATATTGTGATAACCTTTTCAAATTCGAAAGAGACAAAGTTTTAATGAAAATATTATCTATGTGCTTTATATATTTTTCAGCTACGTGCCATAGTTCCATAAATCTATTACCTACAAATATCATGTACCATTAATCATTTAAAATTATGGTAAATGTTTCCATTATATTATCAATTCTGTTTCATTATAACATTCATATATATATATGAAAATGTTCTACTTTTTTTTTTCGATTTCTGCCATATGTTTTTAATCATATATAAGAGATATGTCGTAAATTTTGACGTCAGCTTCCATGGCGATTTGCTATAATTGCTACTTTCCATGATGCTTTTAAGATGCCCTTCAGATTAATTTAGCATCTAACTGTGAGTTTGAAATGTACTTACTATTTGATTGTAGAATAATTTTCTCTTTTTTTCAATTCTCCATAGATAATTCATGAGTAGGCTTGTATAGTACCCAAACCACCATTACTGATAATGGTTATGTATTGTATTTCTATTGACACATTTACCGAACTTGATATTTATAATATATATTATTTATGAATAGCTTTTCTCTCATTGATGTTGAAGCAATGTATTCATATTTAAAAGATCCAAATGTGTTTTAATTCAAAACGTATCAATAAAATAGTTTTCATCAGTCCATTTTTTGTGATTTTTTTCTTCTGTAAAAATTCTTTTTTTTCCCCTACTATCCTTGTATATTAAAGACTTATTTTAAATGTTATGCGACACCTGTTCATTTTCTTTTTGTCAATTCGACTTGAAAAAAAATTATTAAAACATCTTAATAAAAGCTTGACACTTTCGAATGAAACGTACGTATTGAAGTTTAATAAATATGAACAAATTTATGCACAGTTTCAATTAGTTCTCAAAATAAGGTATTGAGTGTTTTAGTTTTGTTCCTTTTGTGAGTGCGGTTAAGTATCTAATACAAAACATTCAATTATTGCAAAATTATCACTGTCAAAGCAAAAGTGGAGTCAACATATACTTTTATGACAATGGACTTTGTTACAATGGCAATTTAAGACTGAAAACTTTTGTAGTCTTAATGAATGATCGGATTGCCTTTTTTTCAGGTCTTACATATTTTTGAAAGGAATATTTCTCCCTTTCTCTCATATACATATGATTATATTTTGGCTTCATAATCAGGTTCCTAAGAATCGTTTTTCATTTTCTTTCGTCTACCTGACTGTGGTGTGCCTTGTGATTTTTTTCAAGTACGTACCTTATTGGAAATACGAAAATGAAAACTGAAATAACACTACTATAAAGAATAGAAGAACTTGAAGTTCTTTCTGATTCGATTCTATAGACATTCAGCATTTCGAAGAGACAGTCAGAATATTGTTCACGTACAATAGGAAGATATGAACAAACTGTCGTCTTTATATATAATAACTACATTTACTTCACAAGTCTTTACTTTTCATCACTTTTTTTTAAAAAGTGATAAAAATTATGAAAATAGAAAAAATGTTATAATTATTTTACTGATACTTCACAGTTTGAATTGCGAAGCAGCTTTATGAGAAATATGAGAAACTTGTATCGTAAATTATTTGTGGCGTATATTTTATTTATTCTTTGACAAACAACTTTTACGATATCTTGTGTCAACATCGTTAAAGAATAAAACGCTGGATTCGGGTTTATGACGTTTTAATGAGGATAACAAAAGAAATGAAACCTAAAAAACAGAGAAAACACACTCACAATACACACACATTAACAAGAGACAAATACGGCACATTAAACAAAGCTACAAATTACACAACATGAAAATTCACGTCACTGCCAATAAAGATAAATTACGTATTATCGAAATTGGTTTAATAAATATTTACACCATTAGAAATAAATCTTACCAGGTATTCAGTATTATAAAATATCATAGATACACCGTAAAGGTAGAAATCTAATAGTAATTTTATTTGGCGGGATACGCGCTTATGTAGTGCACGAAGTTAATATACATGCATGTTAATTATCAAATAGTGGTCTCACATTGGTCCACTTGTCGTACTCGTATAATAAAATATTCACACATGGCACTCATTCACACAAACAGCGCTATGTTTGATTAGCAATGCGCGCTAATCAAACGTAATTTATTAACAAAGTACTTAATTAAATATATCAACTGTGACACTTGGATAAATTTTTTTTTTACTTTTACAAGTTTTTTACTTTGCCATGTCAGTATTTCCTGGAATAATATCAATGTTTAAAATCTTTGACTTTTTTTTTCAAAAACATCATGATCGGTAGGCCCGGGTTCGATTCTCGTTCGCAGCGCCGCGTCAAACATAAGACGTAAACATAGATAGTGACTGTTCCTTCGCCAAGCGCCCGGCACTAGAAGTGAAAGTCACGGGTCTTTCGGATGAGACCTAAAAAACCGAGGTCTCGTGTCACGGTAGGCGTTGGCACGATAAAGAACCCTCACTGCTCAATGGCCCTGAGTGCCGAGTAAAGGTCTAAATTTGAAGCCCTTCACCGGCATACGGTGACGTCTCTATATGAGTGAAAAATTCTCAAATGAGACGTTAAACAACATACAATCAATCAAAAAACATCACTGTCGTAATTTTTCTAAAAGTTTATTTTATGTAAACTACCTGGTACCTTCATACATGTAAATATCAATGTTTTAATACTCTATTAACACTTCAATTCCTGCAACCTTATTAAAAGTAAACAATTGCTTCTCTCCTCTGTTGTTTTTAACGTTGCGGATTATGTGATTCTAGAAAACAGAAGAAATATTCAAACAGCATATTAATAGCAATTCTCTGTAACCACTTAAACTTCTTTGCCACGCATGGTCACCGATTTTGATGAAACTTTGCCCATTATTACAAATTGACACCAGAAACGTATATCAAATAAAATTTCGTTGCTATGTGTCTTGGTTGCCATGGTAACAGCCAGAAAAGTTGAAAAAATTGAGATTTTCAGCTACTTTAAATTTTTATTAAGCCTTAATAAAGACTAAGAAAAACAAACAAACCATTCTCCCAAAAACATGACACCTTGTTGCCACTTATGCTTTAAAGAAACTATTTAGAATTTATCTCTAAGTAAATGGTAACCATGGGTACATTTGGAATACATTTTAGATGCTGAAAAATGCTGAAAAATGCTCTATAGTCACAAATGATAGATGTTACATGATCAAACTCAATCAACAACGTAAGAAAAACAATGAAAAATATTTGACCTCATGTAATTAGGTATTGGCAATATTAT